TATGATTTGAGTTTGTAATAAATGACAAAAAATGATGAGAGAAAATGATGATGGTGAAAATATTATAAGGTTAAGTATAGGGACAAATTATTAAAAATATATATATATATATATATATATATATATATATATATATATATATATATATAAAAGGAAGAAAAAGAGAAGAGGAATATTAGTTGTGAATTGGCCTTGTGTGTCTATGTTGCACTTCCATATTACTTTTGTACTTTTGTTTAATTTGGACAGATTTGTGTGTGTGGTCGGGGGAAATGGGGTCTTTTTTTTGTATTTGTATTTGTTGTGGGTGTTGCTTTATGTTTTTGTGTTTTGTTTTATGCTGATTATTGTCATTGTAAAATGTTGATCGTTGTATTTTTTTTTTTATGTTATATTCTGTTGTCCTTAAGAAAAAAAAAAAAAAAAAAGACTGCAGTGTGATCTGTGTGTGTGTGTGAGAGACTCTTGTGTGTCAAAGTTTAGACTCTGCTGTTTGTTTAATCCTGGTCCGGTCCTGGTTTAGTCCTGGTTTAGTCCTGGTTTAGTCCTGGTTTAGTCCTGGTTTAGTCCTGGTCCGGTCCTGGTGATGGTCTCGGTGTTTGTGGTGTATATATTTATGTTTCGTTCATGTTTGTGGTTCTGGGGTTTTTCTTCCTGATAATAACGTCGCTGTGTCTCTGGATACTCGTCCCTGATTGGTCGACGCGACTCGTCTGACAAGAAAAGTTCAGCATTTTCAACTTCTTGACGCTGACGCCTCGGACGCACGTCTAGACCGTCGACGCCAAAACACTCAAGATGCGCCTCGTCGATGCCAGATTCGCGCTGCGCTGACGCCGAAGACGCGCCGCAAAAGCACAGGAGGCTCTAGTCGCGCGTCCACATCGACTTTACACAGAAACTGGACGATTTGACGCTTTGGTGTGAACGAACCTTAAGACTCGTCCTGTGTTAAGTCAGTTTTATTTCGGCCTGTTGTTTTTGTTTGTCTTACACTTCCTGCGTTAAATGTTCTTTAAAAAGTCAAGTTTATTGATCATTGAGAGGATGTGTTTGCATTTTTATTCCATGGTCATTATATTTGTTGAAATTGGTCTCAAAATGTCAATATTATTGTTTACCGCAATAAATTCTTGGTCAGTTCATCATCCAGTAAAATCTGTTCTGGTTACAGGCCGATCATGCAGTTTTAAGTTTCGTTTCTGTAAAACGGAAAGAAATGTGCGGCTGAAGCCAAAATGCTGACAAATTGCAGAAGTGCTACAGTAGTATTTTTTGGGAGGGACCAACTCTCCTCCGGTCGGACTCGTGTCTTGTCTTGGTCTTATGAGCGTCAAGTGACAACGGAACGAAACTAATCGAACGTCGTCTCCCCAAGAAACAATATAAATACTGTTAGATTTAAATGGTGACGCATTAAAGTGAAAATACAACCACACGTTAATTTGTGCTGCGCAAACACATTTAGGTATCAGTAAATTATAAGATTATATCAGGTCCTTATGCTGCAGAATTTTTAAATGACGGTGAAGAAACTGATACCGTTGATATTTTTTGATGCCGCGGTAAAACGTAATAACGTAATAACGTACTACCGCCCAAACCTAATGTTTGTGTTTTTACTGAACAGTGTTGAGAGGTTTTGTGAATGAGTTGTTTTGTTTCGCTTAATGTGCCTTAGAATCCCAAAGATGTGGTCGTTTTTTTGTAGGTTTGCGTTTGATGGGAGCAACTTCACGGAGAAGAGTTAAAGTTAGAAAAAGTTTAAAAAGACAGAAGAGGAGAAGAGGAGGAGAGGAGGAGGAAGAGGAGGAGGAGGAAGAGGAGGAGGAGGAGGAGGAGAGAGGAGGAGGAGGAGGAGGAGGAGGAGGAGGAGGAGGAGGAGGAGGAGGAGGAGGAGGAGGAGGAGGAGGAGGAAGAGGAGGAGGAGGAGGAGTGACCTGTTTGTCCGTCTGCGCCCCAGCCACAGGAGTAAACCCGCCCCTGGTCAGTGAGGAACAGACTGTGGTCCTGCCCACACGCCACCTGCACAAACACAACAACACAACAACACAACAACCGTCACACACACTGGAACACACAACACAACACACACACAACACAACACACAACACAACACACACACACAACACACACACACACACACACACACACACACACACACACAACACACACAACAACACACACTGGGGAACACACACACACAACACACTGGAACACAAACACACACACACTGGAACACAGGAACACACAACACTGGAACACTGGAATGGATATTGGAACCAGTGTTGGGAAAGTTTACTTTTAAAATGTAATCCCCCACAGATTACAGATTACATACTCCAAAATGTAGTTTGTAACGTAATCCATTAAATTACTTAAAGTGAGTAATGTAATCTGATTACTTTGGATTACTTGATTTACTGTAGAGAAGCAAAGACGATTAAACCAGAGCAGGACCAGAGTGGGACCAGGGTGGGACCAGGACTCTGAGCTTTGA